CTAAAATAAAAAACGAATGGGATGGAACTCAAATATCACATGAATGTATGTTTGTAGGTTGTGTCTATAACAGTAAGCTTTTCCTCACTCTAATGAATAAGTGGAATGATTAAGTTATAAAAGAAAAGATATATTTTAGTTCACAACTTTAGTGCTTCCAGTCTGGGATGAGACACTCACTGGCTGTAGATCTCGGCTGGAGGAGCAGCACATCATGCTGGGAGCATGACTGGAGAAAAACCACTTGGGATCGCAATAACCAGAAGGGGCCCGGGCTTCCATAGCCCTCTTCAAGAGCACATCCACAAAGACCTAGAGACCTCCTGCCAGGTCTGATCTCTTAAGGGTTCCCCCTCCTGTAGAGGGCCATGCTATCCTAGGATCTGTGACATTTTAATCCAAAAAGTCAATTTCCACCCCCTTAGGGGGTGATTTTGCATTCAATAAACACAACAGTAGAAGCAGGGATAGAGGAATGTTGGAGGTAGGAAATACATTGCTTCTCAGCTTTCTTCAAAACAATGTCATAAGGCCTGCAAGACAGCTCAGGGACTAAGCACAGGGATGGTGGTTCTACCTGCTGCACCACATGGCCCTTCAGCCCTACCCCTTGGCAAACCGAGCCAGCCACTGAAATCCAGTGTGGTAATACATGGCTGTAATCCCTGTACTGGGAAGGCTGAGTCAGCAGGATCACTATGAGTCTGATCTGCGTAGTGAGACCCTGTACCAAAACCAAACGAACCAAACAAACAAAAACTGACGCCATGGCCACAAGTGTCCTGACTAAGAGAGGGTCTACATTTTGTGAGGATAAAAAGGGCATTTTTTTTTTTTAGTCTTTAGGAATCTAATCTATATAAATAGACCCGCTTTATATCTTTGTCCATAATATATAACCCCGTTTTCAGGCTATATTTGGGATGGATTGTGTGATAAAATCTGAAGTAGAAGGCAAAAATCAAATTTTAATTTATGGATCTAGGAGAATAAGATAAATCAAAGTAGGGCCAGCCAAATAGCTGAGCAGAGTGAAGCGCCTGCTTAGGCAGAGGTGCGGCCAGGGTTCTACCCCAGTGTGCTGTGCCAGCCCCAACCCTGGGGCGCTGGTGACTGAGACTGGGTATGGCAGCACATGCCTATAATCTCAGCTCTTGGGAGGCTGAACACAGGTAGATCACTGTAAGTCTGATCTATGGAGTGAGACACTGTAGACCCTGTAGACCTTGTCCTAAAATACAAGGTGAGAGAGAGAGGGAGCGAAGGAGAGAGAGAGAGAGAGAGAGAGAGAGAGAGAGAGAGAGAGAGAGAGAGAGAGAGGAGAGAGAAATCGAAGTGACATGAATTATTCTCTAGAATAGTTGGAGTTAAGACATAATCTATTCATGTATCTCTTTGGGGAGAAATAACTCACATGAATTAGAATATTACAAACAGAAAACAAAATTATAATATTAGGAACAGAAAATGGACTTTTAAATACGAGCCCCAAATCAACATTGCTTGGATAGGGGTCCTAAACTGTAGAGTATGGCATGCTGCTGGGCTGCCTCACAGAAGGACAGCTGCACAGGCCTCTTCTTTGTCACTGCTGTGGACAACATCTAGTGATACTCGTGGTGGTAACAGAAAAATGTTACTGCAGCAAAACACCAGAAAATGAAAAGCAGCAAATCTTTGAAAATATTTCTGTGCCAGGCATGGGGCCAAGCATAATCTCACTTAATTCAGCAACCCTAGGAGGGAGACGCTCTCTTTACTCTTTCTGCAGGTGAAGCACATAAAGTTTTAATGAGACAAGTGGCCTGTGCAGTGGCAAGCGGAGTTCTGCCCATTTCCAGAGTGTGAGAGTTTCACCACTGACCATTATTGTTCATATTTGTACCTGGCTCTTGCACAGAGATAATGCAAGTAATTGTCACAATGGCAACGTGTTCCTTGTCTTTTTATCCTGTAAAAGGGATCTTGCAGGAATTTGCCTACATTGTATATCCTCATATAAAAGACATAATACACCTGTTTGAGAGTGGAGAAAAAAAAAGAAAATTACACTTCATGAGGCACTGGCCACAGCTCTGGGTCCACTGAGCAGGCCACTGAGACCAGGTATAGGGATGCATACCTGGAACTGTGCTGAAGAAGCTGAAAACAGGAAGAACTGTATGGGTCCAAGCTGTGTAATGAGACCCTGTACCAAATACATAAAAAAGAGAGTGAACTATATTATTTATAAAATTATTATGTCCATAGAATGCAAATTATTCTAAAGTAATTTCCACTCCTGTACAAATGAAAGCACCACAGACTCAAAACTTCAGTGATTTAGCCAAGGCTTGATAGTGTAGTGAATAAGAAGCATCAGAGAGAACTGACAGCACCTGACTTGGAGGTCACTGCCACTACTTCATACTGTTCCTACTGAGAGAAAGCCTGTTTGCCCTGAGCTCAGCCCTGCCACTTTGCCTGGGTTGCCCTGTGCTATACTCCATACTTCCTCATCATCACTGGGGCTCTGAAGTTTGTAAGTCATTTGGAGGAGGTTGGCTGCTCCAGCACCCAGGCAGGCTTTTGCTAAACAAGTGGAAAAGGTACAGAAAGGATTTATGTCTTCAACTCTCTGCAGATAACACTTATCTTGAACTGCCAGCAGAGTCTCGACTGTGTGACATGAGTGACAGTGAAGAATAGCTTTGTGCAGTATTGCTGGGCTTGCAGGGTAAAAGGAACCAGCAGTTATTTGATAGAATGAATATTCAGAGGCGTCTCTGGGAATCTTGGCTGAGAGGTGAGATATGAGGCCTAATCTTAGAGGCCATGAGAAGGATCCCTGATTCAGTGACTTTTTACAGCGGTTCTGGAGAGAAGTAACAAGGAAGCAACAAACATGGTTCAGATCTTAGATGTCCACCAACATTCTGTGTTTGGAGTCAGGGATTGGGTAAGGTGATTGGATTACGGGGACTGGAGAATCAAGGGATTAATCATAATTAAATATACTGACATAATGTAGGCCCTTGTCAGAAGGGGAGGATTACTGGAACCAAACCTTGAAGTCATATTTATGTCCTTGGCTCTGGCCTTCTTTACCTGCTTCAGGTCACTGCAGGTTGAAGGACTTTAGCCATGCTGTGCTTTTCTGTGATGCCATTTCTGCTGTGAGGTCAACAGGCAGGGACTGAAATTGAGAGTTGATATAAACCTCTCCTCCTTCTCACTGTGTTTCAGGAGGCTCATCCCAGCAACAGGAAAGTGACTTCAAAAAGCCATCAGGTAGTTCGTATCATTCAACTTTCATCGAGGTTGAGATGCTTGTATTTAAACATTTTCCTAATGAAGCTCTCCTTGAATTATAAGCTATATAAGAAAATAAAATGTTTATAATCTGATCCTTTAGCACTTCAAATTAATTGTGCTTTGTAAATATAATTTTAATAGCTAATCATTACAGGTAATGACTAGAGACTTCTCCTATTTTATTCTGCAAATAGGAAATCTAAATGATAATTCTTATTGATTCTATCTATCTATCTATCTATCTATCTATCTATCTATCTATCTATGCTCTCTGTATGTATGTATTTTTCTTTTCCTTTTTCCTAAAATGCTGGACCTTCTCTGCTGATCATCAGAGATCTATGCTTCATTGTATGCCTGTGGTAAATAAAGTGTGCCTCGGTAAAATTCAACTTCATAATCCCTAGCATAGCGTGAAAATCCTATTCATTAATGAATATGTTTTCAAACAAATTCACAGAGAATATCCAGGAATTCTTGTATGTATCATTAAAGTTATTTTATGTGGAAGACTAGTTTGAGAGAACTAGAATTTAGGTCAAATATAATTTTCCTCACAGTTTTGATAGCATATTTGAATGAAAACTTTTCAGTTTACTGTAGTATTTTCTTATAAGTAATTGAAAAATGGTTTAAAATTTACCAAATGATCAACTTTAGTGACGTCAGTTTAGCGCCATTGGATCATGTATAAAGGAAATTATTATACACTTTTGCATTTCCACAGAATATCTGACCTCTGCATACAGAGTCTTATTTAGCTGACAACTTCTTTAGAATGAGATAGAACGTGGGAATGAACTCAGGAGGAAAAGTTGGTAATGAACATTAGGTCAAAATCTCACTTTGACATAGATGAAAATGTGTTAAAAATAAACCATAGCTGATAGGCACAAAGATATTTTTTCAACATAAGCATAAGCAAAGTGTCAAGCAGCAATATAATATAAATTATTTTGAGGCTTTTAGTCACAGCACATATGTACTTTTTTCCATTCCCATATCAAATCTTAGCAATATAAGAGCCACTTTAGGATAAATTAAGTGAATGTGCATGTACCTCTCATTGCAAAACACATGTATTCTTCAAAATGTTCAACTTGAATATATTCCCCATATTACCTTTTATTCAAAACGCACAGGGGAAGCTTTTACATATAATTGCATCTTAGGTTAACTCTTCACTTGTAGCAAACATGGACACAGGGTTTTTTAATTTTTTTTATTTTTTTGACACAAGGTTTATGCCCTACATAAACTTAAGTAGATAGCATTCAAGGGCTAGAGGGGCTCCGTGAGAAAGCTAGTTATTTGCCATGAGCAGTAGCCAGCTTTGTTCGGATTTATGGATATTTTCCACATAGACTAAGAGCAGAGTGATCCCAGGCCAGATTCAAGGTTCAGGGTATGGCTGAGCCCCTTAAATGAAACCATAGATGCTGTTGGTGAAATAAATGGAAACTGGCTAATGGGAATCTGCCAACATGCACTCACTCTTGCTAGCATATTTGAATTTCCATAGGTCTACTCAGAGTTTGCATTAAAAAAAAATTCCTCAGCTTAAGACTCACTCTTTGCACATAATTTTTGCATCTCCAGAAGCACTTTGGATATTGCTGGGAAAAAATGAGGAAACTAAATATTTAACGGCCTGCAAGCATGACTAATGTTCTAAAGCCCTGGGAAAAGAAATATGGAATAGCCACATGGCTCTGCTTAAGGAAACCTGTGGTAGCAGTTACATGTTCCAGAGCTGTAGGGATTCCTCCTCTCCTCCGGGCAGGTGAGTGGGGTGCGGGATTGAGCTGGGGCAACTCAGGACACAAGCTTTACCCAGACAAGTGTCACATTTAGTTGGTTTACATTTTTAGTTTCCATACCAACTGGTACTTTAAAACATGTTTTTGAAACCAAAGAAGAAAAGGCCTGAAATTTTGTCAAAATGGCTTTTGAACATGCAGACACCTTGAGGTTGGATTCCAGATGACTGAAGAAAACAGGGAGTGAAATTTCACCTTGGAGAATTCCTCTGTCTGAGATAGGCGGCTGTTTTGCTGATGCTGACTATGTGACATTGTGCCTCATGGCCAAGAGGCAGCACATTTTGTTAACAGTGTGCTTTTCATCAAACCCATGTCAAATGCAGTCCTTCTGTGTATGACTAGAACCTTCATCCAGGAAACCAGTAACCAGGTCCAGCCATCAGGGCTGCCTATCTACCTACACATATGTTTAGAATTGCTTTTGTTCTTTCATTTGTTTTTATTTAATTTTAATCAGAATCCACAAAAGAGTTGCTAAATCTCTCCATATCAACAATCAGTAACATGTGTTCTCAAACTTGGTGCATTGATAATTTGGATGAGAAGATCCTTTGTAGGGGCATATCCTGTGCTAGTGCTCATATCTAGATGTGTCCCCCAAAACCTCATGAGCTTATAGATGGAACTTTGGGGATGTGGCCAAATCATGGATATGTGAACCTCATCACAGAATCAGCCCACTGTTGTGCTTAGAGCTCCGTGTGATGTTAAGAGGTCAGGCCTGGTGAGAAAAGGTGGGTTACTGTGATCATGGCCTGGAATGGTACCTATATTGTAGCTCTCTGTCTCCCTTGTTCCTTTTCTGCTTCTCAACATACATGAAGTGTTTCTCCTCTACAGCTTCCCTTTGCCATGGCACACTCATTTGGAACCAACCAACTACAGACTGAAATTTCTGCAAACTGTGAGTCAATAAAAAGTTCTTCTTTAACTTGTGATTGCTGAATATTTTGTCCCATAAAGGATCCTGTAGATTGTAGGATGACAGCATTAGCTCTGACTACCAATCACTAGATGCCAGATGTACCTCTGTACACCCATAGTTATGACATGAAAAAATACCTTTGGGCATTCTAAAATGTCTGAGTCATTGCCAAATCACCTCCAGTTAAGAGTCACTGGCAAAGAAAGAGAACTAGTCAGATCTCACTATACAAAGAAAATGCAATGATCTATAGTGGGTGAAACGTAAATTTGAACATTTACCTCTCTTTGCTTGGCATAAAGAGATGATAGTCCCTATGAGTTAATGGAGCTAAGAAAGCAGAGTGCTAGTTTTTATCCTTTTCTAAATCTTTAAGCTTATGCTAAGATGTCGACTATTTGCTAAAGAAGATTTGCTTCTAAATCGTCTTTATCTCTGCCCTTGTTACAAAATACCCTTCGACAATAGAGTTTTAATTAGCTCATTTCTAACAAAAAACATTTGTTTTTGCTTACCAATCCCTTTTGCAAAGTGCTAGTGGTGGCTGTGATATCTCACTGTGGCACAGCCATCCCAGCTTTCCATATCTGCATCTCTGATTTCTCATGTAGCTTCCTCCGTGGATGCAGCCACCAGTACCTGCTGCATTCTCTGTTTGCTGAGGAGTCAGCTAAGGTTTTGCATAGCAGCATAGATTGAGAAGTTTAATGTAGCTTTGGGCAAGAAAATTGCCAGCTGCTCAGAGAGCTTTCCAAAAACTGATTCTCCAGTACTAGTCTAAAAATAAGCCACATGCAACTTCTGGCAAGACTCGTGAACACTCTAGAAAAGCAACACAAATCTAACTCAGGACATTACTCTTTCATTATATTAAATGCTACCATATGGATTCTTCTTGGTTTCACAAATATTCTTTCTTATTTTGCACTTTCTCCTCCTCTTTATTATGTAACACTTGTTCATTACTTAGAATATCCTTGGCAAGTACAGCCCCTGGAGTTGCAAGTTGAATTAACCTGTGTCCTCCCTCATAGTACACTGTAGTAGCCAAGAGCACAAGTAGTAGCAGCTGAATCAACAGATTACTAGAATATTACACAGGACGGCATTCCCTTGCTCATGGAGATCTCAGGACAGTTTTCACAGCCATGACAAAGTTTAAAGAAAAGTAAGGACTTACTAAGTATAAAAATAAAGAAAATTACATACATATGAAATAGCAAGTAACAAGACATGGAGATACATAAATACATATTTATATTGAAAATATATATATGCATAAACTATGCAGTTAGTCTGTTACAGGAAGTCCAGTGACATGGAAGTGGTTAACTTGGAGAAGAAGGAAGTGGAAATTTAATGGAACGAGTAAGAATAAATTTCCTTTAGGAATTTTTGGGCAAGACACATTAGATGTACTAATCTAGAAGCATAACCTAATAGAGCAAGAGGAAAAAAAAAGAATGATTGCTTATACTTCAAGTGGGATTTGGTGGGACATGGACAGATGAATCATTACTGGGTCTGTGATAGAGTATGATTCTCTAGAGAAGAAGCTAGAAGTTTGCAGCTGTGCAGTTGGTGTGGTGAGAAGAGGAGAAGGAACAGAGATGGCTCCCCGTGTACACACCTCAGTGATAAGGCAGACCGTAAAGCCAAGAAAGTAGAAGGCACTGAGCTTCTATGGGTTGTTCATATTGGAGACAAGCAATGATTGTTAATGCCGCACGTTGAAGGCCAGGGGATGATAGGCAGAACAGTCTTCCTCACCAAATGACAAGGGAAAAGGAAAGACAAATACAAAACAAAACAAAAAATAAAAAATGGAAGCAAAGCTTTGTAAATGAGAAGGGGAAGAGGGATTGAAGGGAGGACGGTGACTGGGGGAAATGAAGAACCAAATTACATCAAGTATGAGTAGACCTTCCCTATATGAATATCATCATTATTTGTCTTTAAAGTATACCAATAAACTTATTTTTTTAAAGTATCCTGTAATTACATTGCTTTTCACTTTGACAATGAAAGTTCTCTGAAGCACATCATATAGTTCTTCTATCTCATGCAATGGCTTCTCAAGAGACGGTTTCTGAATTAGTCATCTGTGTCATCTCTATGATCCAAAGGATTTTATATTTAGGCACCACAACGGTGTAACTGTTGGACAGGCATTTTCTGCACAGACATTCCTCAAAGTCAGATAAACAATGGGAACTCTCTCAGTCTTTGTATTCTTAATTGCTGCAGTTAGGGCAGAGAATGGCTTTGAAAGTGCTATTTTTTATGACTTTTATTTATTTATTTATTTGTGTGTGTGTGTGTGTGTGTGTGTGTGTGTGTGTGTGTGTGTGTGACCAGCTCAGTCCACCAGGGGGCGGGCTGGCTGGCATGTGGTGCTGGGGATTGAACTGTGGTCCCTGGGCTTTG